GGACCTGCACCCTCCCGCTCCCGCAGGTCAGGGACCAGACACGGGGACTCCTGGGGGAGTCGCACAAGCAGCCAAGGCAGCAGACACCGAGAGGCCCTACCTGGAACCCGAACAGCCGGGCAAAGAAGGTGGAGCCCAGGTCGCCGATGACGACGTAGAAAGCGATGCAGGTCCCCAGCATCAGCCCGATCATGCTGCAAGAGGGGGTGGTTCTCAGGCAGTCTCGGGGTCTGCTCCCCGCGAGGCCGCCCCAGCCACGGGCCGATCGCCACCCAAAGGCCGGGCTGCGCGGAAGATGCGGTTTCGCAGGTGCGGGCCCTGGCCCGTCTGTGCAGCCCGCTGTTCCCTAGACACACAGGCGCCAGTGCCGCCTCCTCTCTGCGGGCATTGGCTCTCGCGGGCGCTGCTGAGGCTCAGGAGCCACAGAAACGCCCGCAGCCGGGCGAGCAGGGACCCAGGACCCAGCGGCTCTCGGCTCTCGGAACGGCTGTCGCGGCTGCGAGCCTGAAAGTGCGATCCCCCAGCAACGTTTCCGTCTCAGACGGTTGTGCTCCAAAGGGAGAAAACAGGACATTTCCAACTACTGCCACTCGCAGCCGTGCTCGGGCCCGGACCACAGGCCGGGAACAGCCCGAGGCGTGACCCAGCCCCGGGAGCGGCCCTGCACTCTGTCCCGTTTTCCATTTTTAATTTCCCTTCGTAAATAAGGCCTTCAACCTGACTCGGCCCATTCTCAGGTACGATAAGCTGAACCTCCAACTCCTCAGCCAGTCGCAGCTCAGAAACACAGTGTGAGCCCCCGGCCACCCGGCCTGAGCGTCAGCCGCGGGGAGGGAGGACGGAGCAGCCCCGAAGGGGCGCCTACCTGGTCTCCACCAGCATCTTCCCGGCCTTCCCGTAGGCGTGAAACGCTGCGGAGGAGAGAGAAGCGCGCTCAGCCCCGCAGCCTGAGGGGCAGGTTGGTAACACACTCCAGGTGACAGGCGGGAAAGGCAATGGGACCACGCCCGCTGGCCTGGCCTCTCCCGGGCGTGTGTACGGGGGACACGTTTCTATGTTGGTCCCACACTTGTGGCAGCTCTGTGATCGACAAACGGAACCACGTAAGACAAGAACAAAGCAGGGAAGAGAAGCAGGCTGGCTTTTCATTCAAAGAACGAGCAGCCCTGCACCGTGACCGCCCGGCCGGCAGGAGAGAGGCCTGGGGCGGGGGGGGCCCTGCCTGGAGTGGACACTGCGGGCAGAGTGGGAGGTGCCGTGGGCCGGTCCCCCCAGACCAGCACACCCAGTTTTCACAGCTCAGACCACAGGGCCGGCTCCGGGCTTTGGGTTCCCTGTCTGGCTTCTCCATTTCTGAGCTGGGGCCACAACTGAGCCAGGACCACAGGCAGGGACGCCGCAGGAGCCCTCCTGCTCGGTACCCAAGACATAACGGGAGGCCGCTGGCGGGTTCCCACCTTCTTGCTCCTGGCGGGGGGACTGGGCTGTGGCTCCCAGGCAGGAGCCCGCAGGCAACCGTGCCCTCCTCGGGCTTCACGTCTCGCCACGCCGGCCGGCCTTCTGGGGCTTTCTAAGAGCCACCAGGCAGCCGTCAAAGCACACGGCCTGCCCCGTCCAGGGTCACCTGACTCTTTCAGGCACTTCCTGGGCACTGGCCACCGGAACCCGCTGCCTTCACGTCTCGCCACGCCGGCCGGCCTTCTGAGGCTTTCTAAGAGCCACCAGGCAGCCGTCAAAGCGCACAGCCTGCCCCATCCAGGGTCACCTGCCTCTTTCAGGCACAGCCAGGCACTTCCTGGGCACTGGCCACCGGAACCCGCTGCCCAGAGGCCCTCGGGGCGAGAAGAGGGTCACCCGCAGGCCCTGGCCCTGCAGGTGGGGGAAGGGCCGCCCGGAGCAAGTTCATCCCAGGCTAAACTAGGTCTCCCCGCGGGTCACGGGTAGCCAGTGAATTTCACTAACTCGGTGACCCCAACAGCGAGGCTGACAGCTCCAGCCTCATCAGAAAGGAAGAGGAAGGGCCTTCAGGCCTGAGGCCCGAACAAACCAGCATCCGGTGCCCACGCTCAGCGCACAGACGGGAAGGGAAGCAGAGGCTGGCCCGGGTCCTGCCATCACTCTGTCCCCTGGAACTCTGCGCACCGTTTCGTCTCCATGGAGACAGCTGGGAGCCGAGGGCCAGGGCGGCCCGGGAGGGCCCAGCATCCCAGTCACACTGGGCCGAGAAGAGGGGGTATGGGGGGAGGGGGGGCCTAGGGCTTTCATCCGGAGGCCAGGAGGTTCCCAGGCACACACAGGGCCAGCTCCCTCCTGGGTTTCCCAGGCACAGGACACAGAGCCTCAACTCGGTCCCCGAGCCGAACTACCAGCCAACATTCCAAACGGAAAGGAAGCAGAAAGGAAGGAAGAAGTGCAGCTGGACCCAGGGAGGGAGGGAAGAACAAGGAAAGGAAACTGCAGCGACAGCATCCGGGAGCAGAGAGGCCGTGGCCCGGGACAGGCCCGCGGGGAGCATGTCCCGGGCACTGGTGGAGGGGCAGGAGCGGGCGCTGTCGGGAGCTCCGAGGACGCTCTGGACCAGGGCCGGCAGTGAGCAAGTCCGCAGAGAGGGGGGGCTGTGCTCTGCCTGAACTTGGTGCTTAGAGGGGAGACAGGAAAAACAGACCCTTTCGTGGCACCTCAACTCCGAAGCATATGACTATAATCAATGAAAAAATAATTGCCGTTGAAGGCACATTTTAACAATCAAGTGGAAGGGCCCTGGCCAGTTTGGCTCAGTGGCTAGAGCGTTGGCCTGCAGACTGAGGGGTCCCGGGTTCGATTCTGGTCAAGGGCACGTGCATTCCAAACGGAAAGGAAGCAGAAAGGAAGGAAGCAGAAGTGCAGCTGGACCCAGGGAGGGAGGGAAGAACAAGGAAAGGAAACTGCAGCGACAGCATCCGGGAGCAGAGAGGCCGTGGCCCGGGACAGGCCCGCGGGGAGCATGTCCCGGGCACTGGTGGAGGGGCAGGAGCGGGCGCTGTCGGGAGCTCCGAGGACGCTCTGGACCAGGGCCGGCAGTGAGCAAGTCCGCAGAGAGGGGGGGCTGTGCTCTGCCTGAACTTGGTGCTTAGAGGGGAGACAGGAAAAACAGACCCTTTCGTGGCACCTCAACTCCGAAGCATATGACTATAATCAATTAAAAAATAATTGCCGTTGAAGGCACATTTTAACAATCAAGTGGAAGGGCCCTGGCCAGTTTGGCTCAGTGGCTAGAGCGTTGGCCTGCAGACTGAGGGGTCCCGGGTTCGATTCTGGTCAAGGGCACGTGCCCGGGTTGTGGGCTCGATCCCCAGTGCTGCACCTCACCCAGGCCCGCGTAGGTCCTCCGCTTGCTCAGGCTGGCGGCTTTCACCAGGAACATGCAGGACTGGTGCGTCATCCAGGCGCAGAACGCCAGGAGCAGGGCCCCCAGGACGATGCCGCACTAGAGGGGAGAGAGATGCTGATGAAAGGGAGCCGCCGCAGGCCTTGCACACCGGTCTCGGCGCCCGGAAGCCCCTCTGCGGGCAGCCCAGTCCGTGCCTGTGGGCGCAGGGCCTGCTCCGTTCCCTGCCCAGCCAGCACTGAAAGGGCCAGTCCCTGGTGTGGGCGCCACACCCTGTGTCCAGGGACATCAGTTCTGTTCGTGATCCTGAAAGAGCAGCAGGGGCCACCCCCCTCCCAGCCCCCCGAGTCTGAATGCACGCCCCACGCGTCTCTCAGTCCTCCACACACCCCACTGTGGGCCCCTTCCAGCCGCCTGGACCAGCCGCTGCGCGGCACACACTCTGGAAGGAAGAGACCAAAGGTGACATTCACGCCTTTCTTGTCAGTTAGACACCGACCATCTGACCCAGCATCTGCGCCCCTAGGACTGACCCGGGAGGAATGGAAACACGTGTTCCCGCAGACACCCGCGTGCCCACGTTTACAGCAGGGTCATGTGAAACCCAAAGACCGAGGAAGCAAGCCGCGTGTCCTCCTGGTGTCTCCCGGAGCTGAGCGCACACATAACGACGCTCCGGCTCTTTACTCGGAGGTAAACGCCCCGTGAACGCAGACAGAGTCCGGGGCTCTGCGGGTGGGCACGGAGCTCCCGACAGGAAACGCCAGGGGTGCCCTGCAGAGGCCGAGGGATAAACAGACGCTGGTACATCCATACAGTGGGATGCTAGCCAGACGGCAAAACCGACACAGGACACGACTCTACTTCCATGGACTCCGAAACAGGCGACCCTGACCTCTGGGGCCAGCAGGGGGCGGGGGGTGGGAGGAGGACCCTTCACAGGGAGGCAGTGGTTGGAGGGAGGGGTGCTGGCAAGGCCGTGCTCCCTAACTTGGGAGCCAGGGACATGTGCTTGTTCACTTTATGAAAATTCATCAAGGCTGTGCATCTAAGCCCTGGCCGGTTTGGCTCAGTGGATAGAGC